TCGGCGTCGGTCTCGCAGCCGCAGTCACCACAGGCGTCCTCCTGGCCGCCCTGACGACGCTGTTCCCACGTCCCACCGCCGCGCCTTCACTCCGAAGTACCCGCCGGCAGTCAAGGCCATGCCGGCGTGTCGGCCATCGGGTCTCTCATATGACCGTTGACGGAACACCAGCGGCAAAAGGACCTCAGTACTTCGGCGCATGCATGTTTGCTAGCATCATGTCGTTTCAGTTCCGCAGCCTTTCTTGCTTGATTTGACCTTGCTGTGTGTTCAGTTGCCATGCAGTTGTCAGTCGAGTTTGTGAACAACCTGGTGGCGGTACTAAATGTCCTTGGAACCCAAGTAGCGACAGCTCTGGACACCCTGAACTTTGCCCTGATGACCGAGCGAAGCCATCAGTCGGACACTAGAGTGTCTCCCAGGGCACCACGGAACTCCAGGCACGGGCTGCGCCCTCGCATCATCACAGAGCGCATTTCGTCTGATCGATCCCGCTCGCCTACTCGAATTCGAACCCGACCTCTGGACACTTCATCCACCTGGTATATACCGGCCTTAGCCTCGTGCGGCACATCGGGATGCCGCTGACAGTAATTCTGGTCGTCGTCCTGAGTCGATGTTGGATCGCCTGCCACCACCACGGCCTCTTGCTTCCCCGCCCACACACAGCGGACGCGAACCAGGACAGACAACGCCTACGACACCTGACTCGGATTCTGATGGTTTAGTCCGTCCACATCCAGGTGCCTCGTCGTTCCGCCCGTCTCCTACGGTGGTTCATGGACCTCGGGAACTTCTACAAGAATTCACCATTGCCCTTCGCAATGCGCACCTTGAACCTTTCACGGCATGGACACAGGGTGAGCTGGATGAGATGGTTCGACGGAAGAAAGACAAGGATTCCAGGCCCACCGACAAAACCATTGCTCGGTTCCTTCAGAAGCCCATTGAGGAAGTCAAGCAGGCCTGGAAGGTCTATCAGCAACTTGAGGCTCGCGGCTAGGAAGCCGTGCATCAAACGAGCCATTGACCACTGGAGGACTAACTCGCAGGGCGTGGCGGTGCGGTCGGGGAGCGCTGCAGGTTGTTGTGATGGTTGGGATTGTAGTCATGGCTGATCACATGAATTTTGCTTGCTTGCACTTGCCTGACATTTTGACCAGTGAAATACTGTTTGCTGTTGTGGGTGTTGCTGCTGACTTGGACTGAATGCATGGCTGAGCTGCTCAAATCATGTCGGAACAAGACGTGCAGACATACATTACTTGGACCCATGGAGCGCAGCCGACGTGGTTACAGTTTCACGGACCTGGTACCTTGCTTGACAGACCAATTCGGCAGACTACTTCACCTCCGACCCCACCAAGATTTCCAATACTTCTTCCACCTCCGCCTCCCCCACCGCCACCACCACCGGTGATTCTACACCCACAGTTTATGCCCTCAGTGCGTACCCCCTCGAACTCAGCTCCTCGAGGACAATCCTGCCCTGCCACATCGAAATCGCAGCGCACACGCCGCTCGATTCACAGCACTGACCATTCCCGTGATGAAGATCTACGCAGTCCTGGGCGCTCCTCGAAACGCTCTCGAACAGCATCCGCTTCTGCACCGCGGAGATCTCGGCGACCCTTCACCGTGTTCCCCTCCAAACGAGCCACCCGTCCATCGCTGTCCCCATCGGCAAATTGCAAAGCATTACTGTCATGCCTTCCTACGCCATGGTCGGAAATGTCTTTCTCCATGTGCTCGTAGACGACCAGGACATTGCAGGTGTGTGCGGCATCAGCGGCGGTGAAGCATAGGTGCCGTATATTACAAACCTCGCTGCTGTGTCTCACTTTCAGTTTGAAAAGTTGCCTTGCATCGCCTCGGTTAACACTCTAGTTGTGTGTGGTTGTCATTGCTTTAGTGTCTTCGCCGCAGATTTTCGATTGCTTTCAGCCACAACCTGTCTTGCCGCTATGAATCCTCACTTTTTCGAGTACCAGATCGTGAGAGGAGTGGAATGGATTCGGATTTACACACCGGGCACGTGGCGGCCCGTTCCCAATGATGCTATAGTGCGCCCCAATCTACGCTTCCACGTATCGGGAGTGGCGCAGGTCATATCGCTTCCAAGTGTACTGGTCAGAAGACAGCACCGGAGGAACAACAGTGGACCCCATCGTCACGCCCAGTTCGTATGTGTCCTACCACGTGTGGGAGTACCGCGACTGGCAAACACGAGGGTATCAACGTCTTGGAGCTCCTGTACCAGCCATTGGATCCGCGACGCTCGTGAATGCAGACGCCAATTCCTCGGTGGACTCATCTGTTCCGGATGGGGCGTGGCGGGAACCTTCACCACCACCATTCTATGATCCTTGGAACGATTCGGAGTGATACTTGGGTAGCATGTCGGATAAAATGACGCGGTTGTCCCTGTGTTGGGTGCGATTCCATGTTGGGTTGTCTTGCTTTGTGTTGTGCGTTCCGTCTCCATGTGTTCGCCGCTTTCCTTTATGACTTCGAGCGGCTTGCCTGGTTGATATGTTCAATTCTACAATGTATGGCGCTGCACGATGGGCCCTGCCACACTACTTTGACTACGACATCGTCAATGGCCCCGCGAACACAAGCGTTGAGTGGATTCGGATCTATGTACCGGGTCCGTGGCATCCAGTCGCCGAAAACACCTTGGGACCTGCCCCGGAGGACTCAACCACCTATCGGGAGTGGCGCAAAGTATACCACTTCGAAGTGTATTGGCCGAGGGAGAGCACGGGCGGCACCAATATGGGTGCTGTTTCTCAGCCGGTCTCTTATGCATCCTTCTATACTTGGCATTATCGGAACTGGGTCACCAGAGGATATCAACGGCTGGGTCGTCCACACCCTAGCATTGCGCGTCCAGTTTTCGCTTCGGGCTCACCGGACCTCATGTGCGCTGGACTGACCTCTTCGTCGGCATCTTCAAACTCAGATGGTGGCTGATGCTCGTCCTCGTCTTCCTGGGGAGTCTATTCAATTCAATTCGATTCAGGAGATTGACTTCAACACCTGAGCCGTGCATTGCTGCAAAAGTGATTGCTTGCGTGGTTGTTGTTGTGTCTCTTGCAGTAATTGTTGTCTGCAGCCGTACACCTATCAATCTGTCTCCCCGGGTTTGAATTGTCATGCCGTGGCTGGAATGGTGTCCGGATCCTCAACAACCAGATGCCCAGTGGGTCAAGATCTTTCATCCGGGCTCATGGACTCCACATGAAGAACATGATGCTCCACCTCCGCCTCACACATACAGAGAGTGGAAGGAGTTCTATGTCCCAAATCCGGATCAAGATGGTGCGCAGCCCAATGACAGCATGTGGTACAAAAGAGACTGGGCTACAGAGGGCTATCGGAGAGTCGCTGCCCCTCAAGCTGGTCATGACTTTGATTCGATGTCTTTTCCTGATCACCACAACGTGGCCACGCAATCCGCGGCATTGAGTATGTCACCGCAGATGTTGGAAGCGATTCTTAGATCCTCGGATGCGGCGGCTTTCTCCACTGAAGATCTGACTCGTCTCCAAGAGGGGATCTCTCAACAACTGTCGGATCGCGCACGTCAAGCTTCCCAACAACACCAACCTGTACGTGCATCTCGTGGAATTGCACCACCGGAGACTGTTGGGGTCTCTGACCCATACCGGCCTGTGAATCCATCAGGCAGCACCACCGCGAAGGTCAAACCTATCTTCGAGCTAAATGATGACTAGACTCACGCGTGTTGGGCAGAATACAAAAAAGGGGTGGTTTTCATACTTTCACTACCTTGCTTGGTTGATGCTTGTGCATGGTTGTGCATGGTGCCTGTTTCTTTACTAGCTGGATCTGAACCCGCGCTACGCCTTGCCTCTTACTTCGACATGGACATCGAGGATGCGAAGCTGCACCCATGGCTCGAATACTCGGTCTGGCAGGATCAGGAGTGGGTGCGGATCTATACTCCAGGACAGCCTCAGCGGTGGCACCACGGAGACACTCTACCTGATCTACCAGACAATTCTTTTCGGGAGTGGCAGCGGGTAACTGATCCCAGTGGGCGTACTGGTGAACACGGTCAGGCATGGACCATTCGCGACTGGCAGCATCAAGGATACCAACGCATTCTGTCTCGAAGGGAGTCCTTCACTACACATCATTCCCATGATCAATCACTTGGAGATGTTCAGAATTCCGATGCCATTCCTGTTGAGGAAACGTTCACCTATGCCACTCCTATTTCTGATGGTGATCGCTCGACTGCTTCGCAATTCGCTTCAGTCCTCTATGGCGACACTCGCAATGCTCATCGTGGTGATCTCTCGTTCCCGTCTTCTGAGCGGTTTATTGCTGTTTCGCGTTCCCCTCGCCGCGGTGGATATTTTGGTCAACGATAGGAACACGAAGTTGAGCATGTGATCTTCCTGCAGAAAAGGAGACTCCTCGCCCCTCATTGAGGGGCGTGTGTGTGCGGAGTGACAGAATACCCTGTCACCACCTTGGGCCGTTTTCGGAAGCAGGGGGCCAGCGGCCATCAAGCAAACGCTGGCCAACGAAGCTATGCTTGATGGTGGATGCACGGATTGATCATCCGTGTGTACCTGCTTTTGTGAAGTGATGTTGATGAAAGTCCTTTTGGCCCTCTCCTTTCGCTCGCTGTGTGTGCTTCATGTTGGAACTTGTAACGTTTTCGACACTAGAGTGAAGCCAAGTGACTTGCCAGCCGAACCTCATCCGACTTTAGACTTGTCAGTTGTACTCGAGACTCATCAGTTGTACTCGAGACTCATCAGTTGTACTCGAAAGATTAGCACTCTCCATTTGGAGTTTAAGTGTGTGTCAAGGACCCCAAACAAGGTGGTTTTCCTGCCACCCCGAAAAGGGTACCAACCCGCCACAAAAACAAAAAAAGAAGCTTCCGACTACTTTCCAGTCGGGTGCTTTGGGAGGGTGGATATGGGACAGTGAGCTAAATACCCTGGCTTCGAGCGCACCTCCGGTGACAGCTCCTCCTCATTGCCGTTGCCTGGCCATGGGTTTGACAGAACAAGAACTCCCCAACAAACATGTGTATATATATATACATACAGACAGACAGACAGACAAACAAACAAACAAACAAACAGAGGTTGTTTGATCCCCTGGTTAACATGAAGTAAACCCAGGGGAATGGACAAGACGGGCCCGCTTGCAGACCCTCCTTATACATTAATTTGGGAGGGGTTATGGTCAGCAAGAGCAGCCTCAAACATCTGCTTGGTTAAGTGTTACGCTCCATTCAAGTTTTTGTTACTTGGCGGGAACACAAACAGATTGTTTAAAACATAGCACAACCAGAAGGCTGAGGGCGCTTGGCGGTTTGCTCCGACAAGTGTGAGATGTTCAGTGATGCCGTCAAAGACCATCCAGTAAACGGCCCACTACATATATTCAACCCCAAGAAACACGTTGGCTCGAATGTAACGAGCTGTTGCTCTGATTACTGCAAATGCAACTTTGGGGACAGCTGGCGCTGCACCAGCCGTGTTTCGGGGGCCCCCCCGCGTTTGGCGAGAACTTTGGCTGGAAGCAGCTTGGAAGATACGGTTGGTTGGCCGGTCGGCCACCCTTCAGAAACAGCCGGCGCAGCGCCGACTGTTTTTCAGGGGTTTTCTGGTACAGGGCCCCCCCGGAAGCACCATGCGAAGCCTGGATACTGAGTCCGTGGCTCCAGCGCTTAAAGTGGTAAACCTGTGTCAGCCAAAAGCAAACATACTCCAGCCATAGAGTCACATCCATCCTGCAGCCCTCTAACCAGCCGAGGGGGGGGCACTGAATGCAGGGCCGGAGAGCTGTTTGAGGTTTGGCATTGATTCATTTTGATTGCCAATGGCCTTGAGAGAGAAAGGTTTGCCCAAGAAGCCGAAAGGCTGACGCTCCTCCCCAAAGAACTGCAATTCAGTCCATCTAAAACCGATCAGACGCATCTCTCGGTTTTGTCTCGATCGAACCAGCCTTTGCAGCGATTTGCGTCGCGACACCGACGACACCGACCTCCCTGGCGACCGGTGCGCGGCCTCCCATGTCTGCGGATTTGGAGACCTGGATGATCCTCGGTCGCGCCAACAACCTTCATCATTAGAGGAGTCTCCTTTTGGGAACTGGACACCCCTCTTGGGTTCCGTTAATTTGCAGGGTGGGGAAGGCTAAGGGTGCCGGTCCCCCATGTTGTCCCCCACCCTAAGCCTGAGTCAGTGGCTATAACAAACAACTTGCCAGCACAGTTGGCCATCGCCCTTGACAATCCAAACGCATGATTCCCTTTTTGTGACCAGGACCCAACATGAGCCAAATTCGGAATCCGAAAGATCAGGTGGGCTTGAGACTCCTACGACCTTGAGGGTCTCTCGGCCCTCCCAGAGGTCACGATATGCAACATCTGCGACAAGTCAACCATTGCAAAGACGGCAAGCCAAACGAACAGGCAGGCAGGCAGGCGAGCAAGCAAACAAGCCGGCAAACAAGCAGGCGGGCAGGCAGGCAAGCTGCTTGCGGCAAGCTGCTTGTGGCAAGCAAGAAAGAAGCACGAATGCAGCCAAACAAACACCACACGCAAGAAATCAAGCAGGCAAACATGCAAACAAAGAAGCAAACAACTAAGCCAACAAGCAAGCAACGTTATACGCAAAACACTCTTTTCTCCCTCTCACACACATACACACATTCCAACCGACCCACCCGCCCTTCCACCCGGCCCATCCCATCTCATCCTATCCCATTCCGTCCCATCCCATCCGATCCCATCCATCCAGCCGTCAAACATATAAGCAAATCAATGACACCAATAAAGAAACACAATACATGACCACTTGAACAACCCAGCTAATAAACGCATGGTGTTGTTAATCAAAAAGACACCGATTATCTTTAACACATACATAAATAGCAAAACATACACGAGTACGTGCATACACAAACATATCAATATATATATATATAAATCAGTAAACAAGTTTTAACAAAACACAATAAACCATCAAACGTAAATAAAAACAAATGAACAAGGAGACTAACACAACAAACAAAGCAACAAGCACATCAATCAATCAATCAATCAATCAATCAATCAATCAATCAATCAATCAATCAATCAATCAAT